TAACGATGTTTTCCCATAGTTTGTGACATTTCGCCTAAATATTTTTAGCACTTTAAATGAAAAATTAATATATTTTATGTACATTAAGTAATTTGAGGAGTATATGTGCTTATTATAAAAATAAAATTTTTTTAAAAAATATTTAAGGGGATTCGGAAATCTTTTTTTTTGAAACAATTAACAATATTTTTTTTTCCTTTTTTCGCCGCCTGGCTAGCACCAGAAAAATTTATTTTTTATAGATATTTAATATGTATTACTTTTATGCTTCATTAAATATGTACTAATAAAAAATATAAAACTTTTATGCGGAAAACTAAGCAATGTTTCAAAGGTTCGTTCGCCCCCGACAGTGGTCCCAACCTGAGCGATGGAAGCAGAATATCCCTCTGAAAATTACATCCTCACCCCTCGAAAACATGGTTTATTAATATAAATTAAATGTAAAAAAATATATATTATTTTTAAATTAATAATTTGGACAAATTAGAGGAAGAGAAAGCGAAAAAATTTATAATATCATCATTATTTAATTGTTTAGATAAAAAAAAATTTCATTGATAAAATGGTTAAATTATTTTTTTAATGGATCTTTCATGGTATTAAGAAGTCTTGGTAGTATATGAGGTAGTAAGATTTTATCATCTCTTATATTATGCCATGCGCAATTATTAAATAAGCATTTGTATCTTTTTTGGTTAATATTTTTAGGCATATTTTGAAATTGGAAAAATAATTTATTGACAAGAAATCAACCTAATTTGCTAAACATCGACCAAAATTTATTTAAATATAATAAGACTACCCATTTGTTATTTAATTTAATCTGTATTAACGGCATCATGAGGTCGAATCCGATATCATAAACCAGAAATCTGGTTATGGATGGGTGTAGTAAAACAATAAAGGAATTAAATAAATTTTTTAAAAAGAAGCAGTTGCTTCAGATCCCCACCGTTTTAGGGGCCACTGGTCCCCACACGGTTCACTCTTTCCTAAAAAAAATTCCAGAAAAAATAACATTTTGAAAAAAGTATTAGATATATATTTTTGAAATTTAAACCTACTTTAAAACTAATAGAGCTGAACAGAATGAGATATTTTTTATTAAAAATGATAAAGTATTTTTAATTTTATTAAGGTTTTATTTTAAGGGCTCGACAAGACCCAGGTCTCCCCTAATGAATGAAAAGTGATAAGGTTAAGAAGACACTTCTATTTTTATAAATTTATATAAAATCATAAATATTATTCAATGCAATATGGCATTTCGTTGAACATTTAATGTTGTTCTTGAAACACTCGCATCTTTTATTCATGCAACCCATTTTGCAATTCATAGCGATGATTTCCCATAGTTATGACATACTGTGCTCCACCTAAATATTTTTAGCAGTTGAAATAAAAGTTAATATATTTTATGTATATGAATTAATTTTAGGAGTATATGTGGTTACTATAAAAATAGCTTAAATTACCTATGATTGATATATCTTTGTTGGGAACTTCAAAATCATTTAATTTTATAGTTTTATATAGACTAGTGCCAATAAATGGTGTTGAAATTCTTCCAGCACACGTTCCTACCCATATTTTTTTTCTTCAATTTTTAATACTTTTCCTTCTAAATTTTTGGACAGATATTAGTTCTATCTGTCCTATGGATAGGTAATAATACGTAATCACCTAAGATAAAGTTATTTTGTCCAATTATTTAAGAATAAATTATGTTTGACTCCCAAGATCATTTAAATAGGAAATAAAAGAAGAGTTCCTTTTTAAAATATTAGAAATACTATTCCCAATATTATTAGTAGTTAAACTATTTTTCCCTGTAATTTTATGGCCAACATTTTTTGAACATCCGAATCCCCATGGGTGAAATCTTTTTTTTTAAACAATAGAATTTTATTTTTCTTTCTTCCTTTTTTAGAAAATTTTATTTTTTGAGATATTTTGTTATAATAAATAAATTATATAAATTATAATGTTAAAAATTTAAATTATTACATTTTGAAAATTTTTTTTTCTAAATTATTACATTTAAAAATTTTTTTTTTCTAAATTATTACATTTTGAAAATTTTTTTTTCTAATTACATTTTGAAATTTGTTTTCATTTTTGTAAATTTATATTAATACAATTATTTTATTTTTGTTTAAAATTTTTTTCAATGCCTCAATTTTTTTTACCCAAAACAGATATATAATATAATTTATTTAAAACTATATTAAAAACATCTAAATACAAATCTATTGAAAATATATCGTCAAAATTAAAATTTAAAGTATTTTAATATTTATATTTAGAAAACAAATCTTTATTTTGTAAAAAAAACCATTATTATAATATCCAATATTCAATCAATATTAAAAGTTCATCATAACGACAATAATCATCCCGGTGTTAATACAACAATCAAAAATATTGAAACCATATACGCGTCTATACCCCAAAAATTTGTTATAGAGTGTCCAATATGTTTTATAAAAAAATCTTCCAAAGGCTCCTGTGGGAAAACCCTTAATAAGTCATTCCATCTGGGGGCGGGTGGAAATTAATATGTCATCCACCCCAGATGGGATCTATAAATACATATTTCACCTTAAGGATCATTTTAGTAAATTTACTGCGCTACAAAAAAAGCAGATACTCGAACAAAATCAATATCGTCAATATAGATGAGATAAAAGAAGACAATAATGATAAATTAGAGAAAAGGAATATAATTTGTTTAATATAGTTGTAAACAATATGGACACCGACAATATAGAAGAGATAAAAGAAGACAATAATGATAAATTAGAGAAAAAGGAATGTAATTTATTTAATATAGATATAAACAATATGGACACCGACAATGATAACATAGCTCAGGATGCTTATAAGTGACAGTATACTTAAATGCTGTGCCAACTTTAATGCAAATAGATACAGGATCAAGATTTGCCATACTGCCGATTGATATAGCAAAAAAGATTGAAATTAAAATTTAAACAAGTCGGATCGAAATTAACATAATATGATGGAAGAATGATAAAAATGTTAGGCACAATTCAAGTCAAAGCAAAATACGAAGATAAAACTCAACTTTTAATAAATCCCCGGAAAAATAAAACCGGAAAAAAATTCCCCGAATAATTTTTTTTTAAATTATCAAATATAACCCTGCCGATTAAATAACGAAAATATTTCTAAAAAATTATATTAAGTATTTTCTGAAAGTTGAATATTTATTCTTGACGTTTGTGCATTTTTTTGAGCATTATTTCTGTTTTAATTCTAAGCGATAAACTGCAATCTTAAAATATAAAAATTGATAAATGGATTGGTATCTTTGATACTTTATAATTTAGTAGATAGCATAAAAGTGTAGATTTGTGACATCTTGGAAAGAAAACATGATAGATTTTTATAAAAATAGATAAAAATTATGGTTGTAATTTAAAATTGAAAAAAAAGTGAAAACATATTTTTTTTCCTAGAAATAAGGAGATTATTTCCATAATCTTCTTTTCACCTGGATTTTAATAGATATTATGAAAACAGATCATTTAACCTCATTATATTTACCATGAAGGGGAGGGGGGGGGGTATTTCAAACCCACACGCCACTAAGGTTAAAAAGATATATATAACATTAATATGAATATTATAACACTATTCTGTTACATACGTTTATATCAGGACAAAAATAACAAAATTGGAATTTTTTATGTTAATACAATACTATTAAAACTTGTATTTGATTATAAATTTTAATTATTTTCTCCAACTAATGACAAATATCAAGTTTGTGACATAGAACACAATATATTTTATATTTTAAAAATTATCAGCAAAAGACTTCATATATTACATATCAAAATTGAAAAATTGGCTAACTATTTTTGAAGGCAAATGATTTAAATTTTTAATATATTTCTAAAACTTAATGGAAATGATATAATTTGTGTATAATTAATATTTTTTTGTAATAAATTTTTTTTAAAATATAAAAATTTGATTTTTCAATAATATCTAAAAGTTGATGAAAATAGGTTTAAATTTCGTTTTATTATTTTAAACCTCAAGTCCTCTAGGGAATTTTAATTTAAAAAACATTTTGATTTAATGTAAGTACTGCATATCCCGGTCAATAAAGGTTAGAGCGGGCCAAAATAAAAATCTGGTTATCATTACTTAGCTTATATTAATATTTTGCCTAATATCACATAGACTAGGTATCCAATTCGTTTATTTTACAAATATTGTTTTTTTAAATTTTCACCAAACCTGGGTTCGGAATAAGGCCATAACATTATACATTATATCGGTTAGGATTAATTAATAATAATTTAATTTGGTTAGGTTTAATATTAATAACTAGTTATTATTCATAATTTTGTTTAACAATTTTATCTTGGATATTTTTATTTAGAAAAATTTTAGAATTTTTTTAATTTTGTTGATTTTCTCAAAAATTTTACATATTTTATTTGGGGATTTTTCCTATTTTGTTAATTTTCTAAAAATAATTTTATATTTTATAGGGATCAAAAAATAGGGGAATAATTTTCCAGGTTAATTTTTTCCGGGGAATAATTTTCTGTGGGAATTTTTTTCCGGGGAATTATTTTTCTAGGGAATTATTTTACGGGGATTTTTTTTCTGGGGAATTATTTTCCGGTGAATTTATTCCAGGGAGTAATCTTCCGGGGATTTTTTCTGGAGAATTATTTTCCGGGAAATAAATTTCCGGTAAATTATTTTCCTAGATTCATTTTATTGTCAATTTGATATTCATGGGTATATATAGTTTTTGGAAAATAAAAGGATAAAAATCGAACTACATTTCTTTCTTAAATAAACAATTTTAATAGAACACATAATTATCAATAACGTTTAACGCTATGCATCATTAATCCAAATTATGTCTTTTAAACTAAAATCTGAGCCATTTTTAGATTTAGAAAAGTTTGAAGAAATAAATAAAAAGCATATATCGGCATTTCTTGATTCATCATATTATAACTTATATAAATTACAAAATAATTTTCAACAATTACAAATAGCCTTGAATTATTTAAATCATGATCATAATGTGAATTTTATCCCTAATATAACAGAAACTTTAAGATTATTAGCTTCAAAATTATATTCAGATATTATATTAAATATCGAAAAATTACATGAAAACAAGTTTAAATATTTTGTTTATATATATATTAATTTATCTTTAAGTAATATTATTAAAACTCTATGTTCATATACAGAAAGTATTATTCAAAAATGTGCCAAAAGCATAATATCTGCTGCTCCATTAGAAATATATTTTAATACATATCAAAATTTTAATATTTTACAATATTTAGAGAATTATGCATCTTCTCTAAATCTAAGGTTATTATTATTAAATAAAGATAATTTATATAATTTAATAGCTTTGAATTCAGAAATTCTATGATCAAAACATTTGTTATTGATCTGGATTTAGACCTACAACATATATTTCAAATATTTTATCAAAGATGGTTAGATGTTAACATTTTGAAAGAAGATTTTGATAGTATATATTTATAAAATATATAAATAATATACAAAAAGTTTTAAAATTTATTGTATCACAACATTAAAATGGAGAATTTCAAACTAATTTTAAAAATAATATAATATATATTATTTAATAACTCATAATTCATTTAATCTTTAGAGAACATTTATAAACAAATCTTTCATTTTGATTTATATATTTCTTTAATTAATTTCAACAAATTTATTATATTGCTTTCTTTAAACCATCAAATCTAACTAAATTATGAAGTCCATATCCTAAGCATACGATGTATAATACCCCAATCTGACACTTCTTTTGATGTTTGCCCTTACATCTCATCTGTATTATTTAGTTTTTTAAATGGAATTCTTCTTCTATAATATAGATTTCAGTATATATATGGTTTTACTAAGATTCTTTTGTGTCACAATTCTAGTTGGCAGGGTAAAATATTTTAAATCAAAATTTTCAATTAAATGATGAAGACTAAACATGATATACTTTCGATGCTTGAAATGATCTCTCCATAAACAAAAGTGATAGTATAGAATTTTAATTTAGAATCAATTATATTTAAAACATGCTCATTTACAGATAAATAAACATATCTAGTGCACCCCGACATGGTTGCCCTATCAGGCAATTCTGACGAGGAATCAAATATTATATTTCTATTTTTTTAAGGATTATTTTATTTAAATTTCAAACCTTTTCAGTTATATTTTAAGTTTTACATTAAAAGATACTCAAAAAAACATCAATTAGAGCTGGCAATAAACAAGTTAAGGTTGTTTAGATCATGTAAGTCCATATAAAAAATTAATATGTATTAATGTTTATGTAATTTTGAAATATGATGTGAATATGAGAATGTAAATGATATACACTATTTTATTATATGCCAATAGGATACAATTCATATTTTAATTTATTAATGTTAATATTCAAATTTAATAATAAATTTAAATATAATTAAATAGCATTATAAAGATTATGCAAACTGTGCCACCGCTATGAATAAATCAGCGGGAGCATGACTGTGCCGCTCATTGCACTTGGCAGCTTTTCTGGCATAAATAAAATTGCCGGTTGTACACAGTTCTATTTTTTTTTTTAAAAAAAAACAAGATTTATTTAAATCACGCATTACACAATTTTCGACTTTGAAGTCTATGTATCTGGTTGAGCTAGCACTATACAATTTTGATTTTATTAAAATTAAAAACATTAATAACTAACATGGCAAGTTTCCTTCATTTTTGAGATGGTCGTCCAAAACACTGGTTGATTTGTAATGGAGTGACCCTAATATATTTTGGCAAATAAGATTAAACCATTTTAAAAAATCAGCAAAATCAAGCCATTAAACAACACTCAACCATATTTATACAATTTGGTTTAATTTTATTTTAATTGTTTTATATTTATCTAAAAAATGCTGGCAATTAATTTATGTTTTCAATAAATACAGTGTTAGTGAATTATTTTAAACTCTTATTATAACAGCATCATTTTAAATATACATCATTTTGACATGCTTAAATCTTCTTAATAAAATTTTATAATTTAACTGAAAATTACCAAATATTATCAAAAAATATTGAATATTAGTAATATGGCATTTAAATTTTTATTACCTGAGATCTTTTATGTTGTAACAAGGTTTTTTTTCCATGATTTTTGGTTACTATAAATTTTGACCCGAACCTTTATTTATAATGGTGTATAAAAATTCATAAAGGTTATGGCAGAGACCTGGAGAGCTGGCCTGAGTACATGGGCCAGGCCTGAAAATTTTTTTTTTAAAATACCCGGGTGTGGCCTAAGATTATTAAACCTAAACGCGGGCCAGGACAAAATAATTTTTTTTGAAAATTTATACACCATAATTATTATATTCTTAAATTAGATATGGTTATAATGATTATAAAATTTACTTCCATTTAGTTTTATTTTTATAAATGCAATATATAATATAGTATATTCTCAAAATTTTATTTACTTCTTTATAAATATTAGTTTTATTTTTATATATGCAATATATAATATATTATATTCACAAAATATACTTCCATTTTTTTTATAAATATTAGATTTATTTTTTTATAAATACAATATAATAAGTATATTCTCAAAATATTATTTACTTCCTTTTTATAAATACAATTAAGTATATTCTCAAAATATTTGCACAAATTTTTTATAGTATCAATTTGTAATATACTAAATATTTGTTTAGAATAAAAAAAATAAAATATGTAATATGCTTGCTTATTAAATGATAATACTTTGTGAAAAATATGATAAAATACCGAATAGGTTAATTTTTTATATATACCAGGTTGGTAATAGGAAAAAAAATTCAAAAAAAAGGAAAATTGTTATTTTCTTAAATTTTCTCAATTTATATTTTTCTTCCCATTATTGCTTTAAGTCATTGTTAATCATTATTTTTCTCTCTCAATTTTTTTCTTCTCAATTTTCACTTAATTTTTTTAGTATAACCTAGCAATAATTAATATTGATAAATAATTTTATAAGCGAATGCCACAACTATAGCCAAAAACTGCAGTCAAGTCTATCAATTTAAGTAGACAAGAGGACGAATAGTTCTATGTACTTAGTCGACTAGAGGACGAATAGTTCTATGAACGAATAGTTCTTTGAACTTGAGTACTAAAGGACAAAGATTTTAAATTAGTTATTATTAATAAAACATTTTGTCATAATTGAGAGACTGATTTGTAAAATTTGATTTTTGGTAAAGTCAGTATGTATTGCGTTTGATGAGTCATTTTTATAATTTTATGTTTTAGTTAAATTGGTGAGTCAATGTTATTTTTATAATTTTATGTTTTAGTTTCGCGTTAACATTTTATTTTTAGATGGCGCTGATAGTCCGGAAATAAGTGACGGTGTGTCTTGGCTAGATTGAGGCCCGAACAGGGATTCGTCGTCCTGCTGTAGTAGGATAGCTCCTTCTAGTATGGGGCCTTCGAAGAGTCCAAGGTGTCTTCTTGGTGCCATCCAAGTCCTTGATGGAAGGTCGGCAGGGCTATCCTCCGTTGGAATCCATTGTATATTTTGTGAAATGGCGGTAAAGTTCGGCAGCCCTAGCTTGATCATGATTTGTGTGATGATGATTTCAAGCGAAGGTGATCGTGATCCGCCCTTTTTGAAGGTAAAGTAGGCTACCGATGAGTCCGTGAAAATCATGGGGTGCTCATTGTTACGGTGGATCGCCATGATGGCCCCCATTCCGACTGCAAGGATCTCTTTCCCATTGATGTGGGAGATCGCGTGGACGGGGATGTTGAATAAGAGGCACGCTTCACTGTATGCTACCGAAAGGTTGTCGGTCTCCCAGAAGTTAATGCCCATGTGGGAGTTGGATGCGTCGACATACACCGGTGAGTTGGCATAGTAGTGCAGAGGCAAAGGGGTAGCTAAGGCGTCGATGATCAGTCGCGCTTTGGTGAAGGCCAGGAAGGTGTCCACTATAGGGGTCAGCTGTCCGCTGTTCATCGTAACGTAGTAAGGGGAGATAAGTCTCGACATACCGGTTATGGTGTAAGCGTAATGATTGACGACCCCTAGGACCCTGGCTGCAAGATTTACCCCTATCTCGAGATGCTGGTAGGAGTGTCGCCGAAAGACCTCCAGGCATTTGTGGAGTCTTCTTCTCGTACCTGTATCTGCTGAGACAGTCTTGTTGGCTAGATCGATGGGGACCCCTAAGTAGGTAATTTGAGGTGTAGGGTCAAGTACCGATTTTTCAGGTGCTATTTGTAAGCCCCATCCTTCGAGGGTGCAGCGCAGTGATCGTGTAGACCATTTGACGTCGTTTTCGTTGGGCCCGTATATTAGAATGTCATCAAGGTATACGTTGTAGTTGGCCTTCTTGACAGTCTTGGCGCAGGCATCCAGCAAGATCGATTGGAGGCAGTAGGGGCTAAAGGATGCGCCCATGGGCAGTACCTTGTATCGAAAGTTGCTATTGTTGAATTTGAAGCCGAAGAATTTTCTCACACTGCTTGAGAGGGGGATGGAAAAAAAGGCTGATCTAATATCAATTTTGCAGGCATAGGATGTCTGATCGAGCTTAGCTGACATAAGTGGAATTGACTTTAGGCGGAAGGGATAGTGCAGGAAGTTTTTGGATACTTCGGAGAAGTCGCTAATGACTCGTGGTGCACCATTCCCTTTTGGGATTACGAATAGAGGTGAGCATATCTCATCCTCGTCAGCCGGCTCGATGACATCGGCGGCGATTAGCTGTCTAACGATGTCGTGGTATTTGTTATGCACGCCCGCGCGAATGTTGTGTTTAAAGTATATGTTGTTATTATTGTTTATTTTTAGGTGGTCAATGCGCGGGCGGAACCCTCTTTCAGCGACTCTCTTAGTGAAGGGCGACATAAGCGGTCCTACGGTGAGTCTAGCATTGCTGATGTTGAGGCTAGGGCGGCCGGCGAGCTGTTCGTCAGAAAAGGTGCTTCTAGGACCCCCGACAACGATACCATTGAGGATACCGGGAATGTTGGGTGTGTTAGATGCTCCCACCTGGGGCATACCAGGTTCATCGTCGGTGCTGTAGACAGAGTCTTGTAGCTCCGTAATGATTGACTGAGCTTCGCTATTGTCCGCAGAGCTACCCGAAGGTAGCGAGTCAGAGAGGGGACTAGGTGTCCACCATTCGGGTATGCCAGAGTCTTCCGATAGAAAGGAAGGGATATCCGATTCTGATTGTGGGCTAACGTCGGGGTTGTTGCACGCAGGGGTATGATTGTTATCTATTGCGGAATCCGGTGCGTCACTGTCCCCGTCAGTGTCTTTTTTCGAAAACATCTGATGCCTCAGCTCCCTAAGAAATTTATTTACCGTAGTTAGCCAGCTAGGGGGCTGCGATGTTCCCGTCCTTCGAGCTGGTGGGCCGTTGCTCGGACCGGTAACCCCTAGTTGTACCGGTGGGTTGATAGTTG